TGTTTAGTTGGTGGCCAGTGCAAGCAGAACACTCTGGGGTCAATACTGGGGCCAGTATTGTTCATTACCTGCATTGTAACTTGGATGATGACACAGGATGCACCTGCAGCAGCTTTTCAGACAATACTAACTTAGAAGGGGTAGTTCTCAAACCAAACAGTGGAGCTTCAGTTGAGAGGACTTTGAAAAACCTAAAAATTGGGTCGACAGAAACCTCATGCAGTTTGACAAGGAGCGCAAAGTTGTGCACATGGGGTTGAACAGTGCCAGGCACCAGCGCAGGCTGCCTGAGCAGTAGCCCAGCTGAAAAGTGCGTGGCTGTCACAGTGGACACTAAGTTGAGTATGAGCCAACAGGGTGTTTTCATTCTGAATAAAGTGAACCGTAGACTGAGCTACATTAGGAAGGGAGCGTGGACAGCAGATGAATAGAAATTATTATCCCTCCTTATTCAGTGCTAGTGAGGTCCACGCCTGGGATAATATGTCCTGTTTTGGGTTCCCCAGTTCAGGACGGATGTCGGGAAACAGGAGACGGGCATGCAGAGAGCTGAGATGGTAAGTGGCCTACAGCATATGACTTGTGAAGGCATGTTGAAGAAGTTGGGCTTGGTTAGGATGGCAGAGAAGAAAATAAGGGGAGATCTGATAACAATCTACAACTACCTGAAGGGGAGCGGCAAAGATCATTGAGCTGAACTCTTCTCAGTAGTAGCGAATGGTAAGACAAGGAGCAAAGGCTGCAAATTGAGTCACTGCAGTTGTGACTGGATGGATGTGATTGTGCGTGGGTGGTGCTGCACAGGAACACACCGTCTAGAAAGGCTGTCGAGTCTCTATTGTTGAAGGTTTTCAAGGGCAGGTTAGGCAAGGCCATGGCTGACCTGAAATACCGCAGGTCACAATCCTGCTTCCAGTGGAAGGCTGGACTGGGTGGACCCCAGAGATCCCTTCCAACCACCACTTCTATGACTGTAAAAGTCTAAGCCACCGTAGTGGCCCCCAGACAGTAAACAAATTGAGTTACTGATTCCTCCTACTCCTGCCTTCCTCCCTCTCTCCCTGCCTCTGTTCCTCTCTCCCTTTATGTTATATTATGACCTATAATTACCGTCATGTTTAAGGGACTAGTAAAAAGTCCTTCCTTTTCAGTTGGGGTCACTCTGCTTGCCGTCCAATCATTTTATACAGTTATGATTTCTAAGGCACCAGGGTCTGTCAGACTTTGTTTACATCCGATTTTACTGGATCAGGCACCTTATGCATCTTTGCTAAAAACTGCAAACTTTTTCTGATACCATAGCATTGTCCTTCCAATTCTTACAAAACAGACTTTTCTCCTTACTGAACATCATTTGTACCCTCGCTGCTAGACCTGCACAATTCAATGGTTAAAAACCAAATAGATCCATACATACTCATCTCCCCAAAAGACAACATAAATCCAAGATTTTAGCCCAGAACCACAACGACATATGAACCAGAACTGCTGAAGCAGTATGACACAGCTAAGTGAATTCTCCATCAGATCAAACTGTAAAAACAGATCTCTGTTAGCACGAGGATTTAAGCACACAGGTGGCATCTCAGGTACTAGAGGGAATGTGGGTTAGCAGCCAGTCAAATATATTTTTTATATTTTGTGGCTAGTCATCCCACAATGCCAGTAAATCTGTTTCTGTGGTAGGTTTAGTGAAGTATGTTAGCAGGTTAGCTGACTCACAGATCAAAAAGTATGTGTCTCAAACTTGGGTAATAACACTGGCCAATAAGCTGCACATTTCAAGTGTCAAGTCCCTAGCGTTAAACCTTTTAAGAAACCAGACTCCAGCCAAAAAAGCTAATGCCAAAGTTAAAATCTGGGATACGAATGCCCATACGCTGTTGGGCACGGTATTGCAAAACACAAAGTAATCGAGAACATGTATACTTCGGAATGACACACATTTGCAATGCAATACCATAATCTTTTAAAATGGGTAATCTAGTTTTGTTTATGAAGGAGAAGTAAATGAACCCAGTGACAAGTCTCTGACACTGATCTAGTTGTTCATTCTGGAAAAGGATTATCCTTTTAAGACTACAATGCAAAGTAGTATAAGATTTATGTAAAGACTGAAGCCAAAGCAATAGTCCATAGTCTGCCGCACGCTTGAACCAAAACCAGCTAGAAGTGTTTCATATCGATATATTTGATGGACTAGATATATAATGGAACAGAACGTTAAACTTTTATGAAAAAATAGATGAGATTTGCATGTGTAAATGGCACATAGGCCAAAGAGTATGGTCAAAAATATAGAAAAAATATACTAAAAGTCCCAAACGTATTTTTACAACCACCCAAACCAATTCTCTTTAACAGATTCTGAAGCACCACGTTACGCAGATAGATAGCATGTCCACCACCATTAAAACATTCCTGTTGGTCTCTCCTCGTTTCCTCTTCTCTCAAACTACTTCTTACATCTTCTTGAAAAGCCGTTATTTATGCTACTCAGCGCACTGCTGTAGGACACCAAGATTCTCCGATATGAGAGTTTTGTACACTGGCATACAATCGCTTTAGCCTGGGCAAATTCACCGCAAGTAGTCAGAGCAATGCATTGCAGAATGTATACCTCATTAACGTCAGGTTATTCAGAAGGATACAACTGAGGTCTGGATAGCGCTTTGAAACAGTAGGAGTATATTTCTGCAACTCTTTTCTTCTCCTAAGGGAGGAGTATTTTCGAAGCTTATTTATTGCACGAATAAGGTACTATACAATGAAGCTTTCAAGCTTCGTTCTTAGGGTGGTTTGGCTACATAAATTCAGCCAGCCTCTCTGAAGGCAACATAACCCAACGACCATTAAAATCTTGATACTGGCTGCTTTTATTGGTTTATATCCTCCAACTCTCTCAGATGTAAATTTCCGGCGATAACCTGTGCAGCAATAAACTTCATTCAGCCGCAAGAGTGTGCATGTGAGAGGACTGCAAATCTCCGCCGCCAAACCAGAATTAGCCGGTATCGCAGGAATGAAAGAGCGTGGAGATTTGAAATTGCAGGGAATGGAGACAAGGCGGTGCAGAAGACGAGCTGCCTGGGGGGCAAGAGGCCCCAGACCGGTGCCAGACTTCTACAGAAAATAAGCCCCGGGGCGGCGAGCAGGGGCGAAGCTGGGCCGGCGCGGGCGGCTGAGCGGAGCCGGGCGCAGGTGGACACCGGAGCCCGCAGCAGCTGTCG